CTGGGATGCGTAAAATGTACCCTATTCAGTGACTTTGCCAAAATTGTGTAACTCTTTTCAATGATAATATTCAAGCTTGAGCAGGAATTTCTGATACCAATTCATGCTAGAACCATTATTTTTCTTAAACTTATGAATAGGCAACTTAAAAAGCAGAGTTCACTAAATTTGATTTCAACAATAATCCCTTGTGGTTCTTGACATATATATTAACAAAATCATAACTATTACTGCAACATATTGCTTGCTTCACAACATTGTGCTCAATGTTTTTTATGAAGAAATGAAAAAGTTGTGTCCTTGCAATGAATACATGCTAACAAAGACTTAAATTTCTTATCTAGGATTAGAACAATATACAAGACTAGACGTATTGCAAAATTTGTTGTACTTCAATATGCCATTGATTTATCTAAAAAGTTATCTGCAACATCATATCAGTAAATTCCTGCTCTTTTTTTGTTTCCTCTGACTGATTAAGAATGCAACCCAATTTTCAAGATTCTATGTCCCAGAATTCTAGCTTTTTTCGAGTTTCTCGGAACTCACGTGTAATACGTTTTACCAACAGACTGAGTCCCCCCTCCCGGGATCAAGTCTAAGGAAAGTTAAAAACCTGTTTCATTCATAAGACTGACGAGATAAACCTAATCTATGTTGCAAATTAAATTTGCTATGAGGGTGAAGAATGTGCCCGTACCTTCAGCCGATTGTGTGAAGATGACTTAACCATAAAATTTCTTAGCTTTTCTAAAAAATTCCATGGAGGCGAACAAATTTGTGTTTAAGTGGGGATGGTGCGAATTCCAAGGTGGACGAAATTGTTTAAATATGAAAGTAAAAAAATTAATATCATTATTATGTCTAACGTGTGTCATAACTTTTATAATTGTGTAAATTACCGTTAAATCTGTACCATTTTTGGCACTTACTAATTTTTCGGAATAAAATATTTGTGCCCTTTTTATTCGTTTTGCCCCCCTCCCCTGTTCAAACCTGCGTCCGGCGGCCCTGATATTACCCCACAAAGTAGACTACTTTTCTTTTCCAATTTAATCTTTAGAAATATTGACTCAACAGAATGGTCATTGCAGTTAAAGAACTTCTCTTGCTGACAGACTGTTACTGAGATATATTCCAACTCCTCTTCCATCTGTTTCTTCAATATTTGAGAACAGAGTATATCCATCAATTTTAATGTTCTGGTTTTTCATCTTCGTTGAAAGGTTTTTTGGTTTAATTTCTGTTATACCACATATGTCAATATTCAAATTGTTGAGTCTAACTTCTAATTCAGAATGTTCGTTTGACAGGCTATCGCAGTTTGTATACAGGCATTTGAAGCTTTTATTCTTTAGGCTTGGACATACATTTGATTTGGTTGTTGTTGTGGTACTGTCTGGCATGGAATCACTCTTTGTGGCTCTGCAATTGTTACTGGTTGATAGGCCGTTGGTTGGTAGCTCTGACAGGGTTGTAGCTGGCTTGTTTGTTTTGTTATCCAGCTGCTCAGAAGCTTTCTGCCAAGTTCCTCTAAAAAAGAATCTTTCATAGCCATGTTGTCGTTGTCATTTGGTGCACTTTGCATTTCGTTTCGTAGTTTCACATCGTGGGCATTGGCTTGGAGGGTGTTTTGGTGCACTTGACTTTTAGTATCGTTCTTCATTGATTTGATGAGTAGGAAAGAGCAATCTTTACCCTTCAAACATCCGTCTGGTTGGTTATAGAAATAGCATGTTTTTACGATTTTATGTTCAAATTTGCAATTTTTCCTCGTGCAGCTTCTTTTGTTGGAGCTTTTGCAGACATTGTGCCATGGCTTATCGGTTCTCTTTGCTGGTTTCTGAATATATATTTTTTTCAGTTTATATATATATGTATATTTTATTCTATATATTTTCAGTGCAGCTTCATGAGAACATGGACGCACCAAGATCAATGATGAGGGAGGTTGTTGTCGGGAAGCGGTAAACATATGTGAACTAGATAAGATCAAGGAAAAGAAAATGGATAACTTTTCAAAGAAGCAGGTATATAAGAAGGCTGTAGTGTAGTTTATTCTGAAGTTGATGTTGAAAAGGAAAAGCAAATTAAAAACAATCAATGCTTGGGCAGCTTCGGTATTAGGATATGGAGCAGGGATCATCAGATGGACGAGTGATGATGACGGCATAAGACGAAAATTCAATTGCGCATGCCTGCTTTCCACCCAAACAGCAATGGGGAGCGAAGTAGGTAGTAGGTTATATGTGTTTCGCGCTGAAGGAAAAAGAGGGTTGATAAGTTGTTAAACACTATTTTTCTATAAGAGGACTATATATTTTGTCCAACCTCAATATTCTTAAAAAAATTCCTTTTTGGAACCTGAACATATTCTTAAAGTATACTTTTTTCTCATACGGTTTCAGAGAAACATCGGCTGCCCTCAAATAGAAACGAGGCTATGAAAAACGAGATATGTTTGTCGTTCAAATCTCTGTGGTCTACATCGCACAACAGGCAACTGCTAAAAACTAAGAATAAATTACTCTGTGTTGAGGCTGAGCAATATTCTTACAATAGTCGTAGATAATGGGTGAATTGAGTCTGAATGTTTTTATAAACAGTATTCTTATAAAAAATAGTGTGTACCAAAAGTGAGGAAAGCAACTTAGGTTGGTGATTGCGGACGAAAAAATTATAAATGTGACAGGATTGTTGGGGCATGAAAAGCCGTGAATAAGACGAGTACGAAAAGATGTGGTTAGGAAGGGGACAAAAGGATGTACGAACAGTTTGTGTAAGAACTTCCTGAAAATACATATCAAAAAGCTATTTGGAAGGGGCAAAGTAATGGGTCTGCATATTCAGACCGCGGCTTTTTTATTTCCTGCACCAGAGTAAACCCAGGGGCAAACTATGTTAAACATCATATAATTGAGTCTGTTGAGTCATTTCTATGTATACTATGTGAAAGGAGAAGAAAAAATCACGATATCGATATCCAATGTAACAGCATGATCGAGCCAAGGGGACATTGTAGTAGTGGACAAAAGAGAATATCTTGTATGATCGTTGATGTTTCCATAATCGATGACTTTAAGTTTTTCGCAAAAGAAGAATAAGACTTTGATGTATTAATTCAAATATCCAGGACAGTGCAGCATCAACAACAGGGCACACTGGGGCCCAAGACCCCTTAGTGCTAAGTGGTCCAACCCAAAATTTTCCGGAAAGGATTTATGACGCACCATCAATGTCACATACATTTAGACAAATACATTTCCCTTCAATTACCAAATTTTTAATGGTTTCTGCTTAAAAAGTATTAAAAGAGAGTGTCTACAGGGTATGCAATTTCTGATTTTTGTTATGTTAGTACACATTATTTATGTTAGTATCCAATATCCCCTTTCAATGTTAATTGCTACTCATTATAGAACAAAGATGCGTTGTGGGCAATCAGTGACTTTGAACTGCAAGAAAAATTTGCAACAAAACCCTGAGTTGTGGAATGCATAGATGCCACCAGCAATGACACGAAGGTATGCAATACCCCTAGCAATGCCAACACAAATCTACTTGTGAAAGCTTGTTTTAAGGGCCAATAGCAAATTTATTACTGAGCACCACCCACAGAAAGAATTCTCTTCATCGGTAAAAAATATCTTAGAGCCCATCAGTCGGCAAAATTGAATGGTGCCCTGCAGACATCGAAGCAAAATTATTTTCTTTAGGATGCTTTACCAATGTGCATTTTCCTTGTTGCAGGGTAAATTTTTAAGCAATGAAAACAAACTTAATTGTCTATGAAATATTTATTTATCTACGTGAGCGTAAAAAAATTTTCAATTTTGATTTTGCTTTGCAATAAAGCTTACATCTTACGGGGGGGGGGGCATGTGTGTTTGGCTACATGATAGGGACGTCGCCAAAAAATGAGCCTCGGGGCCTAAGTTTCAAGTTAAGTGAGGTAGGAGGACCCACCATGGTTGGGCCCGACGCGAAAGAAAATTTTTAAAATTGTAACTTGAAGAAGGGCTAAAAAAGCATCTCCTAGGCTAAAATTTAGCAAAATAGTATACTGCTTAGGAAAGACAATTCGACGGTTCTCAGAAAACACTGATTATTATTTAATGGTAAAAATCGAGGAGGAGAGGTGTCATGGTAAAACTCAAGTGACAGACGTTGGGGAATGAAAGAAATTGTGACCTTTCGTTTCTGATTGCATATTGGCGTAAATACGTTAGTAAATAAGCCAAACAAAATCGGAATCTAAACATTTTGATCTCTTTTTTTCATACACTGTTTTAAAAAGAATTAGAAAGAAGGGTAAAAAATTCTTATCTTGAAAAAAGTAGGGGGCTTCAGCAACTCCCACCCCGCCCTGTAGAGCCGTGCCTGTCTTGCAAAAATTTACTACTTAAGTTGCACTAAACATATGCATCAATCATCGTTGAATTTTCCGTTAGCTTGAATGCAATCTCAGGAAGAGAAGATCATCGCAAATATGATATACCTATTTCAAAATCGGGCTCTTTACGAACTTCAGAGGTGGCGTTCCTGCACTGCAAAAAATTCTTCTTGATGCCCTTTCGATTGCCCTGTTAAATCGACTATTTTTTTAGATTGGGGGATGTCACACCCTTGTAAAGTTATTGTAAAGTTATTATTTATCTTATAAAGTTTTGTGTTATTGACGAAACAGAGCTGCAAAGAAATAACTAGCATTTTGAAATGGGGGGTTGGCCCATTGTTGGCAAAAGGGGCACCTACGTTAGCTACTGATTGAAAACCAAGCCTCTTAAAAGTGTTTGTTCCGACTTTGTCGTTTGTCAAGAACTTGTTTCCCTGTCCCATCCCTCAACAGTCCTAGAAGTAGCGCTTTATCTAAGTCTTATAGATTAATAAGCGTTCTATAAAAATTCGTCACATAGATTAAGTTGATGCAATTTAATTCACAGTAAACTTCGCGCATAAATGTTAAAAAACTTGAAAAAGTAATTTAGACAATTATTTACCGCCATTGCTTGGAGAAGGATCTTCATGATTCATTTTGCGACCAATTTTCTTTAAAATTCTCCAGTTAATTTTTAAATATGTTGAAGAGACTGCTACTTCACCTATGATTCCTTAAGTCTGATTTCGTTTGGTTTTTACCTTTGCATATTCTTATTTCTAGGGTAATTTCTCCTGCATATATTTTTAAACAGATGTAAGTAAAAACAAGTAATTTATTTTGTGCGCCGGGTTTTTCCAACTGTTTTATCAGTTTGCGTGAATTATAAACTATAAAATTGTCAATATACAATATAAGAAAACATCAGCCGAATAGTACCTTCGAGCTAACTTTGCTTATTTTTACTTAATCTCAAAGTGTTGCAGTGCTTTGAAAAGAATACTATTGCAGAGTCATAGAAAAGAAATGCAGCGTCATTATGCACATTTGTTCCAAAGAAAAACTGTCCCACGATCGATAATGATTGCAGAACATTTAAAAAGATTCAAAGAACTACAGACGGTCTTGCCGTTCATAGCTTATTTCTGATTTCCTCTTGACTCCATAGTTTTATCTTCGCAAAATAGGATGTCGCCTAGCTATGATCTAGAGAAATATGTATTTAAAATAAAAAAGCTTTTTTTTTAAACTCGTTTCATTTTTCGTGGCAAAGCTGATTCTGATATATAAAATGAAGCACAGATTTCGACCTCATGAATCACAATCATTTCTTGAATCATGCTATGATCACACTAGAATTTCATGGAATGCACAATATTTTCTAGGACACATTTCAAATACTAACCAGGCCTTAGACAGTGGCGGAGCCACGGGGGGGGGGGGATGAGGGGGACTAGTCCTCCCCACTTTTTCAGAAAGCTGACCCTTGAGATTCTTGTAAACCTGGTGAAAAAACTTCTGAGGGGGGGTGTGTACGTTATCTAGATCGTCACATTTAAAAAACATTTCTTGGGAAACAGGAGGTGTTTCCTCCGTAAGAAATTGTTTCAAACAGGGGAAAAGGTCGTTGTCCACAAAAGGGCGTGGTCCCTGACACACCTTTTGCCCCCCTCACTTATCCCAGTCTGGAGCCGCCACTCTAAGGATTTTCAAATTTTGTTCACCTGTATAATTCATATTTTCTTTTCACCTGTATTATTCAGTTAGTTTATTGAGCAGCAAATATATTATTGGCATCCAAATAAAGAATGTTTTTGAGCAAAGGGTACGCCCCATTGCAAATCGAGATTAATCATTTTAACCTCCAACAATCAACGTTTGACATTGTTTCTTCATGATTTGCAAAGGGACCTTCCCTTTGCTTATAATTGTACATCAATGAATTTAAGAACTAAAATTCCGATTAACCTTGGGATGATTCTATCTTTCTATGTCTACGGTATATTAAATAGGAATTATTTGTTATCTGTCTGTTAATCCCTGTATTCGGAAAGAAAAATACGACAAATTTGAGTTGTAAGTTTTAAAAAAAGATTTTGAAGCCTTCAGTAAAATTTGTAAGAAAAATCAATGTTCAAAATTAAAGAACTGTCAAGGAACGAATCATTTTTTAGCAATTTTACCATTTGAGCATACTGCCTAGCTGCATGCATAGTACCGTTGGGATTGCGAATGCAAAGGAGCATATTGGTATTTTTCCCTTCGCTTAACTGCTCCTATTGAATAAGTTGGGTGTGTGCGCATGTAACTATGTGCGAGTCATCAATGGCTGCTATGTGATGCGAGGGGAAAGACCCTTTGCGAATAAGGTCTCGGCATAGGGGAAGTCCCTCGGAACATTATATCAGCGATTCTCCATGGGTGAGCATTCAGTTCCACTGTTACCACTGGAAAAGCAGTTAGGCATACTATTTAACTAACAAACAAGAAGAACTTAAAATTTCTTCGCATCGGTAAGACTTTTTCTCTTTTTTCATCTTTTTTCATGTGTCTGTGTGACCAAATGTTTAAGTATTTCTAACGTCTACTGTCTCTTCATTGCTTACTGTGAAACAATTTCACTCATTACCACGAACTTTTTTCAACTTTTTCTAACTGACTTGCGTTTCATAAATAAATCTTTAACACGTACTCTTTGCTTTTGTCTAAATATTGTAAATATATATCTATATATAAGTATGCTTACCATTGATAATTTGCATGTTTTCAATATTTTTGTCCTTTTTTCAATAACCATCAAATTTACTAAGTGTAGAAAATTAAATTTTCTAAGTAATAAACTATTTCTTTGGTTACATTTTAGCATTAAGTCATGGACAGGCAGCATGAGTATGGATCGAAAACCAAACAACTTCATCTGAAAACACGTGCAATGGCAATGTCTCTTTGTGGTCCTGCGGGGCATGAGAAGTTGCCTGGTCCACCCTGCTTAAGCGATCGGTGGGTTTATTCAGTCTTAGTCAATTCTTTCAAATCTATTTTGATCAGAATGATATATTTTGCAAAATATTGTGTTTAATTAAAGCAATCTGTAACTGCTAGAGCAAATTTTGACCGTTGTTTTATATAAAAAGAATGTTTTATATTCAATTATGTACCGGAATGTCTTGCATGAATAAAGGGCTAAGACTTAAGAGTCTATAATAACCTTGATACACGATGTTTACAATTTTACGGTGTTTTCAACATCCAGAATAATATCTTATACCTGTTTTTTGCAGACCCGTAATTCTTGCCAAGAAGGGCAAAAGTGCAAGATAAATCGATTCTCAGTCGAAGATTTGATGTTCACGATGACATGATTAGCCGTGTTATGTAAAAGAAGACCGTTGAGCTGGTCCAAGAGATTTCCTCAATCGCCATGGATCGTTTGAAGACGGTTTGGGATTTTATGGAAACGAGTGCAATACACAGTTCGAAAATCCGAAAAGAAGCTTTTTCACTGAACTGTTCCCCAAGTTAGAGACTTCACTGTCTCAAGTTCTTTGACATCTTAGAGATAAACTATGCACAATGCTTAATTTATTTTAGGACAATATCCTTATTTCTCAATAAGCTTTTGTATTCTGTTGAAACTTTTTGTTCTTTGTAATGTCTGTAGCACGAATTTTTCATCAATATGATTGATTTTTCAAAAACCTTACTATCTCGTGTCACTGCATACTGAGAAGTCTAAGAGGAAACCTAGAGTGCATCATGAAGATTATAAAGCCTATAAGGCTAAACATAGTTTTGATGGCAAGGTGTTAGATCAAGAAAACAGCAGGGGTGCCATGGAAGGGGGCTCAGGGGAGGGGGTAGCCCTAGGGGTGCAGTGCTAGGGGGTTCAAGGGGGAAAACCCCTTGTTAATGCTGAAAAGTAGCCGATTTCTACTCTTGCTATTGTGTTTTCCAGTGTTTTGTGCAAGAGCCCCCCATCTTGTTATTTTGATGGCATTATGCCCCAGGGTAGCCCTCCTAGTTAAAAGTCAAAGAATTTTTGGGAGCTCAGCCCCCTTAAACTGGTTTGGTTTTGTGACCTCCTTACTTTGCAGTGTTAGCTAACCCTTTATTACAGTGGTAGAAATAGTGGGGGTGGTGGGGGGCAAATGTCCTCTGGTTTTGCTTAATTGTCGGTTAAGACATCCTTTTGTCGGCAAATTATGTCATTTGTCGGCAAATTCACTTGCGGCAAATTGCACAAAATATGGAATATCGAGCCTCAACAAAAATTACCTGGTTCTAATAAAAAAGAGTGTCACTGAACTACGTCATAGACTACAGAACTATTCGATGAAAATGTTCCAACGTTGGGGCGAGGTTTACGAGCTAGAAACTCTTCAACTGTCTAGAAATACTTCAAAATTGCTCATTTCTTATTAGTTTTTGTTTAAAGTCAATGTGTAGCTCACTTGAAGACTTGTCAGTGAAGAAAGTCAACAAAAAACTTAGCTTGTTTTTAATGTTTTATAGCACGATTTTGACAGACTTGCTTCACTGGTCTGAAGAAGAGCATTATTCTAGACTATGTTTCTCTGTTTATATAGATTTCAAAGGCAAGGGTTCAACTAAGAATATGTTGCAAGAGTGCAAGCAGTTATTGCCCGAGCTAATCAAATTCCAATACCTGGAGAATACACTTAAATTAATAAGTCAATAAATTTACAAATTTCATTTCAACCAGTTTGAGCCTTCGCATCAAAGTTATACGAAATATTGCAAAATCTGATGGGATCGACTTTCCATTGACCGTACCACTTTGTGTCCTCAAAGTATCCTTTGAAACAGTTTCAGCAATCAAGAATGATATAAACCGCATATTTAGAAAAGGTTGTACAGCAGAAAGAATTCAAGGTAGCTTGACAAATGATTTTTTAAATTGTAGTTACATTTTTAAGTCAAAAGCATTCAAGACATTAACCACAAGCTTAAAGTCAAATGACTTTGAAAAATTTCCCTTAATGTAGGTTCTATTAATGTAGGCTCTATCTATCTTCTTCGTTTCTAACACATCTCAGCAATACTCCATGCTTTGACACGGACTGCTGGCTGCCGTTGATCAATAGGTATCGTCAGCTAAGCTTCATTTTCACACTTGCAAGGGGAAAACACATCTCCTCCAGCTGATGTGTTGGTTATTACCCTATTTTTCCACCACCTGCTTGCCAGCCAACATATTCTTCTATCTTTTTATTTCAAAGCACCTTCATTTGAAATGTCAGTTTGGACGAATTTCTGTGGTAGAATATGGCACGGCTTGTCTCTCGCTGTGATCTTCTCAGAGGACTGATGCCATTAATTTTCATTATTTTTCAAAACAATTTTGACTGAGCTTGAGGGGAACTTTATACACTTTTTGACTCATGTCAGCTCAAATTGATTAGGTCGGCAACTTTATGTCACACTTTTTCTTTTTGTCTCTAATTGACCATTGTTCAGTTTTGTCACTACTAAACTCACATGAGTTATAATATGCTATAATTGCTTGCTACTATTAATTCCAAAAGGGATCCTCTTCGCTCTCTTCACCCTCTGAGCTCTCTTCAAATGGATGCTTTGATTCGTCAACGTAAGTTTCAAAGTTCATCTCATCCTCTGATGATTCTTCTTTAGACCATTCAATCTACGGACAAGAAAATTAATGAAATTCATCCGAGAAAGCAATCCGAGATGTTGTTTTATCTGTATAGAGACAGAACAACTCTTTTGCTTCGGTTAAAGGTATAGGACTATATAAATTGATTAGGTAGATATAGACACTAGATACAAGAGAAAAGAGACCAATGTTTCGGGCTCGATTGATTTTTTTGGCAGAAAGGGATAATTCACCAATCAGTAGTACTTCTATGCAGTTTCATTCTTAATGTTTCCCAATCAGCTATTATATTCAAAGATAATCAAATGTGTAAAAGTGTATTCACCTTTTCCACCTTTCCTTCTGATTGTCTAGCTTTCAGTCTCTTTTCTTTGCTTAGCAAATGCAAAGGGATTTTAAATCCCTCATTGCAAGTACCCTCATTTGCACTCTCTAATGTTGGCTTTCTGTCATCTTCCAACGTTTTCAATTTTGCTTGAATTTGTTTGTATCTGTGTTCATTCAGCTTCAGTTCTTGTGCATGCATCACCTTTTTCTTATTTTCCTCAGCCACCCTCATCTTTGTCCTGAGAGCTTGCTCAGCATTGGCACAACTTTGTCGTTCTCTTTCGACCGCATTAGTCTTCGCCTTTTCCGTCTTTCTGCTTCTTCTAGCAGCCTTTCTTTCCTTTCTCCTACTCAACCTTTCCTTCTTCTCTGCAGCTTTTCGCTCCTTTTCCTGGATTTTCTCTCTAAGCAAACGCTGCTTCTCTGCCTCCAGTCTTTGAAGCATTTCCTTCGAAAGAGCAGATCTTTCTCGAATCCTCTCTGATCGGTCTCTCATGAGAGTATCCCTTCTGCTCACAGCTTGTGTTAATCTACAAAAGGTGGAAATTAGCTTCAATATTTTAGAATTATCTATGATGATTTGTAAGTTTCCTAACGTTCATCGATGAAAAATTTGAAAGAACTTCTTCTGGACTTACTTTCTCTGAATGTCTTCTTTAGTGAGTGCAGGTAGTTCAGGCAATCGGTTTCTCAATCTTCTAGGCCCATTCGCTCGCTGGCCCGTTGATAAGCTTGACTGAGGTCTATTAAGTTTGCCTTCTTCCAGCAACTCAACATCAAATGCGACCGCGCGTGTTTTGCCTTCTTCATTCCTCTTAAGAACGATTCCCTTTCTGACCACAGTAGATTCTTCATCGCAGTCAAGTTTGGAAATCTTCGCATCAACGGATGATAATTCCAACTTTCTCGACTCAATCAAAGCCAATTCTCTTGATGAATCGAGATCAGCTTCACAGAGCGCTTCAACTTGAAGGTCCATGTTTGGTTCTGCGGTCAGATTCTTGTTTAAAGTCGCGGATATGTAGGGAGTGACTGCATTCTTCTTGCAGCATAACGCACCTAGATACCATCGAGCATTACCCGATTTTCTCGATTCGGATGTCTTCATCCCCTCTTGCAAAGGCGAAACTTTTTTATTTCGCGTGAATAAATTTCCCATTTTTGTACGTAATGCAGTAACCGAAGTTAATTTAATCTGAGGTTATCACAGCGATCAGTAAAAAACATAATTCAATGTTTAAAACTCAAACGTCAGATGAAGCTGAATATCAAACGTCACATCAGAATTCTGTTTATTTTCAGGCATGATTGATAAAATTTAGACATTAATAGCCTCCTTCTCCCCTTCAATGGACAGTTAGGCATTTTCGGTATTCCAGAGTCCTCAAAATTAGCCTTTTACCTGTTTGCAGATGATGTCAATATCTACATTGAAGCTGAAAATCTTGATCTGCTTCAAAATGCTGCCAATAAAGAATTGAAAAATTAAAACTTTGATTTGATGTAAAAAATTTGTTGTCGAATATTGATAGTACTAATTTCATTACTTTTAAGACTTCCCTGCATACTTCTTCTCAAATTATCATAAAATGGGAACCTTTCATTCGAAACGACCTGCTATGTTAAATTTCTTGGAGTTCTTTTCGATGAAATTCGTTTGTTGGATAATCATTGACCGAACTTTCTAAAAAGCAGGTAAGAACTTGTGTCAAAGAAAGAAAGAAAACCCTATTAATTGTTTAAAATGCCTTTGAAGTTTTTTATTTTAGTTTAAGGTCATATAAAACTTATACTCTTTAACTGTATCTATTACAGAAACGGGTTATAATAAAAATTGCTTTTGAAAACTTTAATTTCTCAGCTCTACACGGCCGGCGAAAGCGGGGGGCGAAAGCCAAAGCACTTTTCTGCAGAGCTAAAGGAAAATTTTAGGCAAAGGTGGAAATAAATGTAGTATAGCATTCTGTAAGTAACTGTGTTCAGTAATCCCTTACATATGCCTTTAGATTTAGCTTGGTTGCTATGACTTTACCATAGAAGACATATATAAATTTGAATATGGGAAATAAGATCAAAGAAATCGGTCATTGTCTAAGTTGTACAACGAGAAACAGCTTGGCTTAGGAAAGAGATCTAGAAACCTGATCCAGAAAAACTTGGTGTCAGCACAAATTGACGGAGTTTCGTTTTTCTATTGCCTAAACGTGGCTCACAAGGTCTATCTGTTAACAAAAAACTTCTCAGGAACATTGCAAAAAGAGAGAAATTGCTAGCGATGTGGAAGGGAAAGAAACTGACGAAAAGAAAATTTTTGAGGACATGAGAAAAAAAGAATGGGCAGATTTGTTCTAAAAAAGTAAAATCAAGAAAACTTCAACAACATATCGATAATCCATTCCTACTAAAAAAGAAAATCTAGACGCAATTGTAAATTCTATTAAAACTATTTTTGATTTTTGTTAAAAGCACAATTTTTCCGAAATATTTAAGATCAGATGTTACAAATCAATATCCCAAGTGTACAAATTGCTTAATTTGCTTTTATTATGGTTGATAGTTCTCCTGTTTTTGTTAAACTTGTACATATTGATTAAACAAAGCCTAAAGATATTGCCTCGCATTTTTCTTCAGTAAAAATCCATTTTAGATACAGTCTCTGGCCATACCTAAAATACAATAACCCTAAAAATGTTCTTGCCGCCAACCATGGTGGCGGCCTAACCTAAGCCCTTTCAAGACCTTCATATTTGCCCCCCCCCCCCACTTTCAAATACGTTTCGCCGGCCCTGCTCTATTTTTCAAAGATTCAAAAAGATCTTGAAGCTTCTTGATTTCTTTCAGCTTGAACATCTAAGCTTTGTGTATGAATCTATTCACAAAATACCCCCTATATGTTTTCAAAATATCTTTAAATTTGTGGCGTCCGTTCATCATTATTGTTCAAGATCGGCTGATAGGATGATATCTTTTTTACTCAGAGTAATACCAATCAATACGGTTCCAGGTCAATAAACTACTATGAATCGAAGTGCTAGAATGACATCCCTATAGAAACAAAACGGTCTCCATCTCTTAATGTCGTCAAAGACTCAAACCTTCCTTTTTGAAAACAATTATCAAAGCACATTACAAATAGTCATCGAAGCCTTGTGCAGAACTCTCCCAACCTGCGATTCCTCTTGAAAACGACTCCTGAAAGTTTCCAAATGAAGAAACAAAAGATTAGCTTGGGAGGCAAGAAAACTTCCATTTTTCTATCTATTGCTCTGGAATTTTTCAAATTAATACGCATTTCATTTCTCCCCTTTTGATAGTCTGCATTATTGTATTTCCATGAACGAATGAAGTTATTTGTTCCATTGCCATAATTTTTATCCAGCAATCTCTTTCAGCTACTTAATTTTACAAATACACTTTGTTACAAATACTGGGAAGAAAATATACGGTATTATCTGTCGATTTGATGATATTTGAAATTCCTTGATTGATTAGTTGATTTGACTTATTTAAAGTAGTTTAGTACCACGAAAATAGAAATAACGTGCTACTGAAAATCATGCAAAGAAAAATATAGCGTGAAAATGGTACTTTAACCCCGAAGGGGGGTACTCCCATTAAAGTCTAGCCAGTTTGAAGGTCTTACCAAATGGCCCATTTTCGATAATAACTGAACTGCTCAGTTAAGCTTGCGATTTGTTATAGATAATGAACAAGATTTATCTTTCCCGAAACAACAACAATCAATTATGAAGAAATTTGTCAAATAAGGACCAGGAGAGCACAAAAATGGATGCTAGCAAGGAAATATTTTCGGTTTTAATGCTACCGTTTGAGGGGTTTTGTCAAAAAGTACTACCATTTGAGGGTAATTTTCTAAAATTCTAGCGTTGGCCCAAAGTAGCACCGCCACGCGACGAGAATGAACAACAAGAAACACAGTAATGGGTAATATTTTGCCCCGGCATACGGGGCTTCATGAGATCAGCGTAGAAATGGCCGCTGTCAATTGCAATCATTCCTTTCATTGTGCGCACGCGTTAAAGAAGGCCCCATATATGGCTGGCCAAAACGAGACTTTGAATCCTCCCTTTTTGAAAAAAACAAACTTTGCCATTGATTTGATTTGTAAATGAGAAAATCTAGACATTTTTAAGGGAATAATCGTCAGCTTTATTATAAAATTACCCAGTTGACATAAATTTTGAAGCTCGGCAATAATTTTTCGGCAAATTTTATTGAATTTTTACGTTCATATTCCATTTGAATTCCTGTGATTTTCCATGATAGGGGGTCTTCCACGTCCAACTCCTTTCTCTTGACGTGGACTTCCATCGTAAAGTCAGATGCCGTCATCCCAGTGAAAGAAAGAAAACCTGTAGGATTGCCTTCTAATCAATCCTAAACTTGCTCTGAACAGTCGAAGAACACACTAAGAAGACATTTAAGTTTGAAACAAGCAACAGGAGAAGGATGGGAGGTATCTTTGGAAAGTTGTTTAGTGGCCTTTTCGGCAAGAAGGAGATGAGAATCCTAATGGTAGGCCTTGATGCAGCCGGAAAAACCACAATTTTGTACAAATTGAAACTCGGAGAAATAGTAACAACCATTCCAACTATAGGTAATGTATTAAAGAAATAGCTTTTAAGAGCTTCTTGATTTTGTTATAATCGTTTCACTAATAGAGGTTCCAGGAAGTTTAAAAGAATGAAGAAACTGGGAAGAAGCATTGCCGTGTAAGGCCTAGGTAGGGAAGAAATTGCTATATCTAAGAGGCAGCTGGTCGGCTACTTAAATGAATTTCTGATACCTAATTTGTTATCAATTTTTTTAGCTTAGTTGCCCATATTTGATGTAGTTTTGTGAAAAATTGTTTTCTCTGTCGAAGACGAAGGAAGACATTTTGATTCCGCGGGAGCGCTGTGAACTTCCGTTATTTGTGAACTTTTACATAGTGGCTGTTCTTGCCTTTTTTATAAGCTTGTCGCCTGTCAGACGAGTTATCAAAACGTGCTAATTATTTTTTGATGTAGTTTTATAACAATTCACTAAAGTATATACACAGTTATTGACGACTAATACCGAATCTTTTGGTAAAATTGTTTCTTTTGGCTATTGTAATGTTAGACGTGAAAGAAATTGTCTTATTCAGGTAAAATATGAAACTTTTCCTTCTCTTAGCTAAAAGCAACGTGACGTTTTATTGATTGAAATTTGTGGAGGCTCCAGTTGAAACTTGGCATTTTTTATAATAAATGAGTACCAGGCAATCAGAAGAAATTTAAACTTTATCACCTCCAGCAACTAAATTAAGAAACAATTGATATTTTCTGCAGCTATGAACCCCTCCCCACCCAAACTGTAAATTAAATGTAGCAACCCAGTGTTGAAAATGAAGATGCCATAGTTGAGAAACCTTAAGGAAAAATGAGTTTTGGAGTTTTCTGAAACATTTAGAAACTGGAATACTCAATGCCCATCTTTATTTTTTATTACAAAAAATGAGCATATATATAATTAAATTATGTGGACTTTTGTCCAGAGAGGAAATATATTAGTAAAATGTCTGAAAGTTGCAATAAAATGAACATTCAGAAAGACCGAGAAAACTTTTGAGTAGTCAACCCTGTATAATTTGAACTCATGTAAACTTTTACACTTTCAAACAATTTTATCAGGTACATGGAAAATCTTGTAACAAACCCTTACCAAAGGCCTCTATAATTCAGATCTCTATAATTTAAACTTTTTATAATTTAAACAGTTTTGTTGGCCCCCAGTTTCTTTGAGAGGTTGGTAAAGCAACAAGTTCTGCTCAGGCTTTCTGTAAGGGGTTGGGAAGGAAACTAAACTGGCCAGTATTCTTCTCTGATTTCATACCATCCTAGAGAGCAGTGGCCATAAAAATGCAACAACATTCATGAGGCTGTGTAAATTTCTTTTCAGCCCAAGAAACTCTTATCAAAACTAATTTTTTTCTGAACAAATTATGTGTATATATGTTTTTACATATGCATATGTCTGCAAATTTTGGGGATCAGAACTTAATTAATCTTTGTGTTTTTTTTTCATTTTTATATCTAAAAGAAAAACATAACTTCTCTATTAATAACATTTTTTATTATTTCTATGGGTATTCAGCGAGGGTTTTCAATTCTTCTA